TTTTCAGCATGTGATCTTTGGTTGGAAGCCATATCACACTTATACATAGTTTGCTTCTGAGAAGGCTAACAATTTCCACAGCCACCCAGTTCCAGTTCCTGATATGTAGCAGTTCCTCTGTTAAGATCCAGTGACTTCTAAGGAAGGCTCTTCAGACTTAAGTAAACAACTCAAAACTCCCAGGAAGTCCCTGAAACTGACTGTATTACAAGCCTCTGTGACCCAAGGCCAGATAAGCAGTTAGGACAGCTGAAGAGACTCAGTCAAGACCAACTGCCTGAAAGAGACTCTTCAACCTGTTGAGCTGTCTACAAGTGCTACAGTGAAATCCAGAGTTGAGCCTTTATGAGCTGTTACTCATGCTGGGGTGTGCTTTTGATGACACAGCTGCCTTTGAGTTATTTCTGATTCTATAAATAACCCCTCACCCAATAAATTCATTCCCAGGGGACTTTGGTGGTGTCCTTATTTTGGTCTGTCATTGGTTCTCTATCTGGGATGAAGAGACACTTGTTCATGTTTCCCCAGATATTATCCCGGTTGTTTCTTATGCTGGAGTATTCCCATGAGAATCTGACTTGAATTAACTGGAGGAAATTGGCAAAACCCAACATTTTTATTTGAAGCATCTTCACCAAAGCACCCAGGACATCCACTTCTTTTGCCAGGGATGCAGTGGAGAGCACTGCTCAGCCTACTGGCAGTCTTTAGAAGATTCCCACCCTGTATTTCTAACAGCCTTGCCTTGCTTTCCTGCAAGCACTGGAAGCCTGTTGAGAGTGCCCAAGGCTCTCAGCCACTCTTCAACAAAGTCCCTTTTCTGGTTCCAAAGAATCTTTCACACTTGTGTTCTTGTGAAAAAGTAACACCTGCTTCAGATGTCAGTAATCACTAAAATTTAGCCACAATCCCCATGGGTAAAAAAACAATAAAAATAGTTTATTGTTGCATAGTTTGTGACTGTTAGGTTTCTGGGAGTAGCCTGCCTGGGTGATACTGGTTCAGCCTCTCCCATGAAGATGTGAGCTGGGGTTGCAGTCAGACATGTTCTATGTCATAGAAGTCCTTCTTGGGGCTACTCAAAGCATGGCAGCTACTTCTCTAGAATCTATACATGACACATGAGGTGGGGAGAGGGAGAAGGGGGCAGGGAAAGTGCAGTAAGTACCCCACTCCAATGCCTGCCTTATACATAGGCTACAGGGCTTCCTACCTGTCTTCCTGCTGCTGCTCCAGGCAGCCTGTAAGTGGGAACAGATGAGGTGGGGGTGCTATCTGTCAGGTACTTTTCCCGGGTACCCTGAAGCTCAATGGTGCCGCTTCTGATTTTGTTCAGTCGCTCTGGAGGGGTCGTTCAGAGGAAATTTTTTCCTTAACCTTTGATCAAGGGTAGCTTTCCTCACAGGAGCTGGCACAGTCAGCAGTTTTGTTTAACTTTGTCCTTGCTCCTTTGTTAACTCAGCTTGGATTCATCAGTTCCTGGAATTTTGTTCCTTATTTCCTAATGAAAAATCAAAACAACTTTGCAAGAGTAACCTGGGGCTGCTGCTGAGTTGGACCCTAAAGCTTTGTGATCACTCAGCTGGGAGAGCTCATCAGGATGAAACCCCGCACCCACTTCAACAGCTTTGTTAAGTATTCACTGTGGGATGGGCTTCCAGTGGAGCCCAACACAAAGCAGCTGATGCTGGAGAGCTGCCACTTCAGGGGATGCACCTCTGTCTGTCTCTGTCTGCCTCTCTCAATGGCTGGTCCTCAGATCATTCTAGGTGGTAACAAACTAGTGACTTCTCTTCATTATTCAAATGTTTAAAAATAAGACATTAGGTGCTGTAGCGATGGCTCAGTGGTTAAGAGCACATGTCTGCTCTTCCAGAGGTCCTGAGCAACCACGTGGTGACTCACAACCATCTATAATGTGCTCTAGTGCCCTCTTCTGGCATGCATGTGTATGTACAGCTAGATACACATTAAATAAGTAAATAAATCTTAAGAAAGAAAAAGAAAGACATTGGAGCAGGGTGTGGCGGCAAACACCTGTAATTCCAGCACTCAGGGAGGCAGAGGCAAGGGGATTGCTACGAATTTAAGGCCAGCCTGATATACAAAGCGAGTCTCAGACAGCCAAGGCTACACAGAGAAACCCTGTCTCAAAAACAAACAAATAAGTCAAACAAAACAACAACAAAAGACATTGGCTCTTCTCAGTGAGTTCCAGGATAGCCAGGGCTACACAGTGAGACCCTGCCTCAAAACCACAAACAAGCAAACAAAAACAAACAAAACAATACCTAAGTATACCTATCCTTTATTTCAGGCAAGTCTCCAGGCAGTATGTAATTTAACTAGGGACATTTCAGACTAGAATATGAAAGTTTCTGTTTGAAAGTGAACTGTGTGCATGCCTAGAGTCAGACAGTTATAACAGAACTACCCTAGGTTTTCAGGCAGCCTCAGTCCTGAGGGAAGGTAGTTATAATAGGGGGTATACTTTATTTCTGGTTCTGTACTCTACTTCCTCCTTGTAGGGCACTAACACACTGTTCTGAGCTTCTCCCCAAGACTCTACCTCCTAATCCCATCACAGTGAAAGTTAGGATCATTGTCTGAATGGGATGTGTAGAAGACATAGAATTGGCAATGCATTTCTAGTGGAGGTGAGGTCAGAAAATGCACCCATCATGACCATTTCACAATGTGTCCCCTATTGTAGACTGAACTGTATTTTCTAGAATTTCCTTTGGCTTGTGTGCTTCCAGTTTGAGTGAACTGGAAGGAATGTGTTCTCCAGAGAGATGGCAGGTGAAAGGCTGTAGCCATTCTGTAGCGCCCCCTACTGGTGCCGTTCTGCTGGTTAATGCAGCAGCAGGGCCAACCATCTGTTGTGCTTCATCTCTGCACAAGGGTATGAGTTCAGTTTCACAAAGAAGAGCTCTGGGCTTTTGCAGGACACCCTTAGCATCACAGTAAGAAGCAGGAAGGGCAAACATGGGGTTCTGTTCATCAGGTGTCGCTGACTCATGGTCTTTTCTTAACAACTCTGCCTTGTGTGTCAACTTTGGCCTTTAACATTGGATGTGGTTACCTAGCAACCCTTCACAGTCAGCTCATATAAATCAGCTGAACCCCTGCCATGACGGTATGTGGTATGTGCATATGTTCATCTGGACTCCTTGGATCAGGGCTTGCAGTTTAGCCAGCCTCCCTGGGAAGAGTGTAAAAGCCAAATCCAGTGTAATTCCCCCACTTTGCAGTTAAGGGGACAAGTGCAAAGAGCTGGGGCATTTCTTTGCGTTGCTCAGAGTGGGAGCAGGAGAATCCTTAGTGATGACTCATGTAACGAGCAGGCTTTCCTCAACCAGGAGATGGTTCAGAGGCCCAGTTACAGGAGACGGCTTCTCTCCATTACCACACTCTGCTCAGCCCCTCAAGCTGGGCTCACCACAGACTAGCAAACTCCAGCAAGGCAGAGCCCTGAGAATATAAAATCCTGTCTATTAATAACAGCGTTATTAAATCAGAGACTAGAACTGATGCTCAAGGAGCTAAATTTAGCAAATAGAGAAAATGATATGTAATTAGTCAGATCTATTATTTCCTTGTCTACAGAGTTTCAAAGATGTAAACGATGCTTAAAAAAACTTTTAGTTTTTAATGTGACAGTGTCTATTGTAACCCACGCTGGCCTAGAAGGTGACATGTAGCCAAGGAAAGCTTTGAGCTTGTTCTTGCCCTCCATCTCCTGAGTGCTGGTCAAGGAAGTATATAGCAACATCGCTGACTGTATTCTTCAGTGCTGAAAAGTCTCAGCCAGGGCTTTGTGCATGGCAGCCAAGCACTTTACCAACTGAGCTCCCCTCAGCTCTTCTCATCTGCCCTCTACCCTAAACCCCTCCAGGCAAAGGGCTTCTCTTCCTTCCCCCAGCTTCTTTTTCCTATATAACTCTGCCATTCCAGCCCCGTGCTCTCTTGGTTCTCTTGGTTCCTTCCTCTCTTGGCTCCCTTTCCTTTGCTCCCTCTCTCTTCTTTTCCTCTTGCTCTTCCCTCCTCTCCCCTCTCATGGCTGAGTCTATTCTACTGGCCATATTCAGTCTGGACTCTTCCATGCTTCTGGCTGTACTCTCCCTCATATCTACAATAAAAAGCTTCTCCTCGGGCTGGAGAGATGGCTCAGAGGTTAAGACACTCGCTGTTCTTCCAAAGGTCCTGAGTTCAATTCCCAGCAACCACATGGTGGCTCATAACCATCTATAGTGAGATCTGGTGTGCAGGCAGAATGCTGTATAAATAATAAATAAATAAATCTTTAAAAAATAAAAACCTTCTCAACTATACCTTGGAGTGCTCATATCCTCATTTCATTCAAAATGCATGCAAAATACTCACACATATTTTAAAAAAAGAAAAGAAAGGAAAAATAGAAAAAAAAAGTCATATAGTATGTGTGGTGACACACACACCATGGCGAAGTGACATTGGAGGCAGTGACAGGAGCTTTAAGAGTTCAAGGCCAGATAAGGCCACAGAGCAAATCCAAGGCCAGCCTAGATTATTCAGGGAGACTGTTTAAAAAACAAACAAAAGGGGCTGCAAAGATGGCTCAGCAGTGAAGAGCACCTGTGGTTCTTCTGGAGGGCACAGACTGGTTTGGAGCACTCACACTGAGGCTGACAACTACCTATAACTCCAGTCCCAGGGGTCCACTGCCCTCTTCTGGTGTCTAGGGGCTACTAGACATACATGCGGGCAAAATGCCATACACATTAAATAAAGTTTAAAAATTAAAAAATAAACGAAAGCAAACAAAAATCCCAACGAAACCTTCTTCACACACTCCAAAACAAACAAAAACATTAAACAACAACAACAACTCAATCTTAGAACGTTTTGCTTTTGTGGAAGACGGCCCAAGGGCCGTCCAGAGTCCCCACCCCCACCGAGCGCCCCACCCCCCCATCTCAGCTCTCCTTTTCCTCCTTCCCTGCTCCTGTGGTTCAGGCTTTTCCCGGGAATGCAGGTCACCCGGCCACCGGCCACCATCACCGCGTCTACTTCCCGTGCAGACCGAAGCTCCTCCCTCCTGCCGTCCGTCCTCACTCGGTCAGCTCCAGGGCTTGTGCTTCCTGCTGCCTTCCTGCTCTTCACCACCCGACAAGGTAGGTAGGTGCAGGTCTCTGGAGACAGACAAACCTGCTGGACCTTGCGAGTGGGTTTGCATGAAAGCAAAGGGCTTTTTGCTCGTGTAGAATGTGAGGCACTTCCAAGTCTGTCTTGCAAAATGAACTTTCATGACCATTTATATTTTACTGGCAAAAAGGCAAGGGGCCACCTGAACCAGTCCTAGGAAGCCACTTCTGAGTGTATTTTTCTGTAGGTGTTCAGATGTTAGTTTTTAAAACAGCTGAGAGCTTGTAGACAAACCTGAGTTCCCAGGAAGAACCCTTCTTCCCTCCCCTTAAATACTATTTTTAGGCTGGGCATTCGAGTGTATCTTTTCTTTCTTTCTTTTTTGAACATGGAACCATGAACAAACTGAATATTTTGCATCAAAATCAGTACCCATGTCTGGCAGCAGTTCTTCTGGGCTCACAGAGGCGGCGAGATGCTGTCATATAAGAATATGATGCTGGGTGAGTCCTGCCAAGACAGTGCGGTTTTATGCTCCATGGCCTCTGGGGCTGGCCCAGGCCCTGTAAAGACTGGCCAATGCAGTTTCTATCCACTTGCTGACAGAAAGGCCACCTGTTGTTTTCAGGGCCCTTCATCAACAAGGTAGTCAGAAAGGAGCCCCGTGTATACAACAGGACAGCCTGCTGGCCCTACAACAGAGAGAACAGGCCAAAGACAGGGCTGTGATTGACATGTTGAAAGAGGTCACTACGTGCTCCTTGGGTTTAGCTTTCTATCAAATGGCATCCAAACCATGGGCCTTATGCAAATTGCACACATGGTCAGGAAAACTAAGTACTTGGAGGAGGGATAGCAGAATCACCCAAGGCTAGGAGTTGACTCTGCCTTCTCCAGTGCAGGACTCAGAATCAGGATCAGTGAAGTTTCTGCAACCTTTAAATTGGCAAACCACCAGTCCCTTCCTGTCAACACCATCTTTCTACAGAATCAAACTTGCCCTTGCTCCCTGAGTGCTTGCCTGTGATTCCTTTTTGTGGGTACTTCCTGCTACAATCGTTTGTACCTTGAGCTTGTTGAGCTCTTTTTCTCTCTTTCTTTTGGACAACTCACCGTGTGATCTGGCTTCTGAGCTACATAAATCCTCAGAGCATGAAATAAGGAACCCCTCCCCCACCCCAACTCCAATACACCTTATTACCGTGTCTGACTTCCAGGGGAGAAAGTAATACCAAATTCTGCTGCTAAAAGACTCTTTGCCACAAATGGTGGATATTCCTCCAGCTATAAACATAGCAGAGGTTTTGTTAGTCACGACAGAAGAGACAGATGTCCTAGCTGACTCGAGAAAGAAGTCAGAAAGTGCAGACTTATATCTGGTAAGGGAAGGCCCCAGAGAGAAAGGAGACATGGGAAGCCCTTGGAGGGAATGAGAGAATCCTTGGGAGTTGGGGTTAGGGAGCCATTGGAGGGGATGAGGGAACCCTTGAAATCTGCACATCACACCTACAACAGGAATCCTTTTGGAGTTTAAAGATGGAGTCATTAGCCTATGCTGGCCTCAAGCTCCCTCTATAGCCAAGGATAGCCCTGAACGTCTCTCCATCTCCTCAGTGCTCAGATTACAGGTCTGTGCCACCATGCTGTGTTTTGGGGATCTGATGATTGAATCCAGGGTTTCCTGCATGCCAGACTAGCACTCCATCAGCTGGGTGATACCCCCAGCTGACTTTGCCTTTTGGCTTGTAATTGACAGAGGGATTTACCTATAGGAAGCAGTTCTGTAGTGGAACAAATGTCCTATCACGGGAGGAAACCTGTGACTTGTACATTTGCAGGGTTTATGGGAGAATCCAACACCTTCTGCTAATGGCCACTGTGGCTGTGGCCAGAGAAGTTATCATCAGGATGTACTCTATAGGGAAATGGTACCACAAAGAGCTCCCTGACTTCTGGGGGCTCTGCCAGTCCAGACCACAGAACCGCTCAAAGACACAGTTAATGAGCCTGCTTCTACACAGGAGGAACAGAACCCTGCCACTCCTGTGAAGGGCCTGGTAATGTGCAGAAAAAAAACCATGCTTCAGTGCAAAGTGCCCTTCTTCTGTGGCTCACTCTCTGACCCTTGGAGTCCAGTCCTATTCCATATATCTGAGTTATTTTGCAATTCTCTGTAGGTCATAGGTAACTGGTATGCTGATAGATTTCCAAATGATGTCTTGCCTGTTACAACTAATCTCCTTCCTCCCTCCATTGAGAAGAAAGTTTGTATCGGTGTGAACTTCATATCTCACTTTCTTGAAGGCATGTACTCCAGCCAGTTAGAGCATCTCCCCCTTTCTCTTCTGTCATGACAGGCATGAACTTACTGTGAACTGTGGATATGGCAGAGGGCAGAATATTCTTCCCACAAGGTGGCCTTCTAGAAAGAATTGCATGAACTACCATAAGTGAATGAATGCATCTGAAAACGAGGACATGAAGGGAATGCCCTGACATGTACACATTATCTTTGTGGAAAAGGCAAAGGCCTGACAGGAATATTCTTGGTCCTTTTTATATGAATAAAGATGATAAAACCTGATATCAGGTCTTAGCATTTCCTCCCTCTGCTTGTATTTGCTTAGCTAACTGCAAACATTGCCTCATGTTTTGATTGCTTTAGTAATATTGAGAAGTGCTTTGTGCTACTTGTGAGCTCAGAAGCCTAGAGTGTCATGGTTTGTCCCCACCCAGATCATTTGATCCTGAGACTTAGCCTCTGAGCCAGGCCCATTGATCATTTTTACATCTGTATGGGAGTGATACTTTTTCTTTATCCTGAAACTTGTCTTTTAGAAAATGTGTCTTGTGCAGGGTGATAAGTATGGATCTATTTGCATTTTTTCTACATGTAGACATCCAGTTAGACAATGAAGATGCTGTCTTTTTTCCATTGTATGGCTCCATTGTAAAAAATTAGGTGTATATAGGTATGTGGGTTTATTTCTAGGTCTTCAATTTGATTCAATTAATCAACGGATCTGTTTCTATGCCAGTACCATGCAGTTTTTATTACTGTTGCTCTGTAGTATAGTTTGAGGTCAGGTGTGGAGGTACTGCTGAGTTCTATTATTGTATAGAATTGTTTTCTCTATTCTGGGTTTAGAAACTGGCACATTTATACATGGAATACTACTCAGCCATTAAAAACAAGGAAATGATGAAATTTGCAGGCAAATGGATGGAACTAGAAAAGATCACCCTGAGTGAGGTAACACAGACCCAGAAAGACACACATGGTATGCACTCACTTATAAGTGGATATTCACATAAAGTACAGCATAACCATGCTACAATCCACAGACCCCAAGAAGATAAGTCCAATGTACATCCTAGGCTTCATGTGGGCCCACTAATTAGGGGAGAAGGAGATATCTCTGACACAGACTATGTTGCCTGCTTTTTGATCACTTCCTCCTGATGAGACTTCCCTACCAGGCCACAGGAGAGAAAGATGAACTCAGTCCTCAAGTAAATAGATGAGCTGGGATGTCTGGGTGGGTGGGGGGCCTCTCCTATTCTGAGGAATAGAGGAAAGGGAATGCAGGAGGGATAGTGGGACTGGGAGGAGAGGAGGAAGAGGTCTAAGACCAAGGTTTAAATGGAATTAATTAATAATAAAAAAAGAAAATGTGTATGGAGAAAAGCAAAAATCCAGAAAACATGGGCTGCCAAGGATCAAGCATGTTTCCAGTTTTCAGTCTGAACTGCCACAGGCCAGTCCATGGATAGAAATGGCCTGCCCTGTTCAGAGTACACTTGGCTTCTGCTTCGTAGGCTGGGCTCAGCAGTTGAGACCATGTGAAAGAGCTTGGCAGGAATCCAGCCTTCCACACGTGGCATTCTTGGGCCTATGTTGGCTCTACTCCATTCTGTGGGAGAAAAAAACTTGGCTCTCCTGGATGTAAAAATTCCTTTTGTAATTGGAGCTCAAGTCAGAATGCCAGTGGCTTTGGAAAGCCTAGACTCCCTTGGGTCCTTCCTCCCTGCAGAGTGCCAGTAAGAGAATAGCTCATGGAACAAGTTCTTTCTTTTCCATCTTTTGTTTTGGGATAGGTCTCTCTTTCTCACTGTCTCTAACATTAACCCAGGCTGGCTTCCAAGTCAACTTGTAATTTTTGTCCTAGTTGCTTTCTATAGCTGAGATAAAATATCATGAACAAAAGCTAGTTGGAGAGCAAATGGTTTACTTGGTTTATACTGTCACATCACAACCCATCACGGATGGATGTCAAAGCAGGAACTCATGGTAGGAACCTGGAAGCAGGAACAGAAACAGAAGCCATGCAGGAATACTGTTTGGCTTGCTCCCCTTGCCTTGCTTTGTTATGGAACCCCAGATCACCAGCCCAGGGATGGCACCACCCACCATGAGCTAGGCCCTCTCCCACTGATCACTAATTGAGAAAATGCCTTAGAGCTGGATCTCATGGAGGCATTTCCTCAACTGAGGCTCCTTCTTCTCTGATGACTCTAGCTTGTGTTGCTGACACAAAACCATCCAGTCCACCTGCCCAGACATGACCCTCCCACATCATCAATCAGTCAAGAAGATGCCCTACAGACTTCCTTATAGGCCAGTCTGATGGAGGCATTTTGTCAGCTCCAATTCCCTCCTCCCAGACAACTCTGGCTTATGTCAAGTTGATAAAAAACTAAGCAACACACCCTGCATTGGACCACAGGGCATGCACCCTAGGTCTAGCCTTGTTTCATTTTTTTTGTGTTTCTTGATGTTCTCTTTTGTCTGAATTCTGAGCCACAGTCTGAGCCACTCTTAAACTTCCAGGGGCTGCCTGTAAAGGTAGCAGGGAACTGAACCCTGGACTCTCAGATTCAGGCCCAGGAGCCTTATCAGTAGAGCTACCCAGGCCTCCCTATGTGTAGCCTTGGAATCGCTTCTCGGTGCAGTGCAATGGGCATGGGTCTTGATGCAGAGCTGTTGTGACATGTCTTGTGACATGTCTGACTGGTAATCATTCTCTAA